ATCGTTTTGATGATTATGATAAGAAAATGAAAGAAGCTATGATTGAATCTGGAGTTAATGATGATGAAATTGATAAAGATTCAGGTATTTAATTATCCGATTCAATAAATAAACATATAGGAAAATTTCCTTTTTGAACTTTAGATGAAGAAAAAGAAGAAAAGAAAAAAGCAGCAAAAAAACGTGCTGGTTATGAAAACGATGAAGATTTTGATAATGTTGATACTAAAAAGGATGCAGAATTTGCACCGGATGACATTGGGTATGTATTTGTTTGAATTTTTTGTGAAAATAATTTTCTTTTTTTTCTTGAAAAGTTCGGGTGGAAGTGACACGGAAGAAGAAGAAGAAGATTATAATGAAGATGATGAATCAAGTGAAGATGATTGGAAAGGTAAACAACGTCGATCTTTACCAAAAAAGAAAACGAATACAAAGTAAATAACGAAAAAGAAAAGAATTTATTTTATTTATATTTTTTTAAATTAGATCTCATCGTCGTAAATCAAAAAATAAATCAGATGATGAAGATGATGATGATGATGATGACGATGATTCTCGTATGTAGAATTGAATTATCTTTTTTAGGGTTTTTATTTCAATTTAATTTAGTTTCTGATACGGAATTAAATAATATTCAAACAGCTAATAGAACAAAATCTGCAACAACAAATGATAATGATTTAAATGAAAGTGGAAATGAGGATCGACGTCGATCATCACGAGCAACAACTCAAAGAAATTATGCTAAACAACAAGACTATGATAGTAATGATGATGATGAAGATCTAGAAGATTTATATGAAAATGGTCGTCCACCACCAAGACGTATGCGTTATAAAAAACGACGCGGTAGTGATGACTCATTTGTTGATGATGATGATGATTATGAAAAATTACAACGTAAACGTAAAATAGTTAAATATGGTAAATCAATGTCACGATCAAGTATAACCGATCATTTAAAAAATCTAGTCGATGAAGATGAAGAACCAACAGAGGGTAAACGTTCAGGTATGAATTCAATTTTCTAATTAAGTATAAAATGATTTTTTTTAGCATCATCATCACAAGAAAGGACTCAGGAGGATACTACAGATGTTCCAAAACAACCAAATAAAGTTCCAAATCCAGAATTTAATGAACAACAACCATCCGATGATGATGATTTTCCAGATGAACAAGAAATTTTTAAAGCGAATGGTTTACTTAAATTCCAAAAAACTTTAACTGCACCCGTAAGTTATTTCTAAAAGCATCTTTATCTTTAACATGATCTTCTTTTATCATCGAAGAAACCTACTGGTTTTCGACCACCACCGTTTGGAGCTCCGACACATTCATATCAACATGCAATCGTCGATCCGACAGCACGTTTTGCAATGATTCGTCCACCAGTTCGACCAGCAATAAATAATGGTTATCCATCCAATGGACATGATCCTAATCTATCTGAAAATCAACAACAACCGAGTGAAGTCAATGGTCATATTGAACCATCGTTATGATAATTGATGAAACTATACAGATTATTCAATTAAACTCAATCGATTTTGTAATGATCTTTTCATATTCTCATTAATGTACAAAAAATTTTTCTTTTTTTTTCATTTTTCTTTTCCTTTTGATTTTGTGTTCTTGTTGTTATTGTCAACACGGAATGTGATTGTATAAACACATTTAGAAAGTAAAAACGTAGCTCTTTTGTTCTCTGTCTCTTTTTGTCAATATGTATTGTACTATTATTATTATTGGCACATGTGTTGCCATAATTAGTTATTCAATTTGTTGTTGCGCATGCATGTAAATTTCTTTTTTTTTTCCTCTTCAACATAAAAACAGACAAAGATACGAATATATTCAAATAGATAGAAAAAAAGAAAATGTTTCATACTAACAATGGTAGTTTTGTTTTCTTTTTTTTTATCTACTATTATTCTAGATGATAATGAATAGACAATAATGAATTATCAACAAGTTTTAATAATTTTTGTTTTATTGATTATTAATTGTTATGGAATCAAAGATAAATTTGTTTCAATTACTCTTGATGCAAAATGGTTAGACACACCACATCATCAAGAAGCAAGGTATATTATATAAATAAATGAAATATTTTTTTTCAATTTATTTCTTGAATTTAGTGAATTTCTTGCAACACAAAATCAACAATATTTTTGGTCATTAATCAATGATGTTAGTTCATTTGATTCATTTACACCTGACGCACGTATGAAATAATAATTTTTTTCTTTTTGTTCGTCTTTAATTGATTTTTATTTTATTAGTTGGTTCGACTCAGAATTATTATGATCAATTATTAACATTTAGTAGTCAATATTTAAATTCAATAACAAATAATTTATTACGTATGGCACTTGCTCTACGATCTTATTCACCAACAGTTCAAATGATGCGTAAAATGGCACATGATACTGGTATGACACGTCAATGTTCAACTTTTGTTGATATACATGGTGTATATACATGTAATGTTGAAGATGTTGATAAATTAATTGAAGCAGTCGGCGAACGGTAAGTTTATAAATAGAAATAAAGATATTCTCGGCTCGTTCAAACGTAACGCTGTTACACAGTTTTTTGTCGGCCATTTTTGAGGTCAAATTAATTCATCCACAGAGGAGCTCAAAAACTGAACAGTAAATTGGGGAGGGTATTAGAGGTTAAAAGTTGCCACTAGCTATTGAAATCAAAACTTGATCTGCGAAGTGTCGTGTTACGCGGACAATCCGTTCTACTGATTTTTTGTGCTATTTAGATCAAAATTTTTATTACCATTCGATCATCATTATTCAAAAAAACAAACTGATGAACAACAATCACTTGTTACGGTTGTTCTCTACGGTGATTTTGGCAATCAGAATGAATTTAAACCATTTCATAGTAAACTTGTTTCATTGGCACTTAATGGAAAAATTGATTATGTCCTCCGACATAATAGTAAAGTAAGTTATTCAAAAGAAAATTTTTATAAATTAGTTGAATTCCTTCGTTTTTGTTTAGCCTTTAAATGGTAATCGAAAAAAAGTTCGTTTAGCTGGTTATGGTGTTGAATTACAAATTAAAAGTACAGAATATAAAGCAACAGATGATTCAAAAATTCGTGATGATCAAATGAATGCAACATCCGGTGATGATAAACAAGAGGAACAAGTTCATGGTTTTATTTTTTCAAAATTAAAAGATCTTCATCCGGATAAACAAAGTGAATTAAATGATTATCGTACATATCTTCTCGATGGTTCAGATCCAATGTCACCATTAAAAGCATGGCAAATGCAAGATCTTAGTTTACAATGTGCATATCGTGCAATCAGTGAAAATACACTTGAAGAAGCATTTAATACATTAGTTGAATTATCACAAAATTTTCCGTCTCGTGCTCGGTAATAATAAAATACACATCATGTTTTGTTTCTTCTATTATCTATTTTAGTCTTCTATCAAAAGTTAAAGTTGATTCATCATTTCGTGATGCTCATCGAGCTAATCAAGAAGAATTTCGTTCACATATGGAAATTGAAGCTGGTAATTCGGCATTATTTATAAATTCAATTCCACAATCATTAGATACAATTGATTTATATGTTTTATTAAATGTCTTATTAAATGAAGGACAAATGATGGAACGTTTACATATGATTGGTTTAAATAAAACTCATACAAGACAATTATTAACAAATGAATTAAATATTCAATCAATAAATTATATTCTTGATTTTCGTCATCCATCAATACTTTGGTTAAATGATTTAGAAAAAGATTCACAATATTCAAAATGGTCAGCAAGTTATTATGATTTATTACGTAATAATTTTTTTGGTGGTCTTCGTACAATCCGTAAAAATCTTTATAATCTTGTTGTTATTATTGATCCATCACAAATTGATACATCCTATGAATTAATGAAAAATCTTGAAGCTTATTTTGTTCATGAATTACCAATACGTATTGGTGTCATATTTGTCACATCGGATGAATATAGTATAAATATTTATCGTGCATTTCGTTATCTATTAAAATATCATGGTAATCCATCACGTGCATTAGGATTCTTAAATGAATTATATAAAAGTAAAAGTACAGATGTTCAACAGATATTTTCCAAGAAAGCGAAATATTCGGGAAGTTTATCATCGATATTTGATGAAACAAATCCATTTGAAAAAGAACGTGAAGAAATGAATGAATATTTTGAACAAAGTGGTTTATCACGTGGTGTACCACATGTTTTATTTAATGGTAATCCATTAACAGCTGATGAATTATTACCAAGTGCATTTGAAGATGTTGTTACAACACGTATGTTAAAAATGCAATTTGATTTACAACAACAAGTTTATCATGGACAATTAAAAGATTCCGATGATATTATTGAAATATTAAATACAAAACCAAATGTTGTTAAACGTTTAAATCAACGAATATTTGGACAAACACCAACAATGCCAACGATTTATGTTGATTTATCAATGATTAATGGTCAAGCAAAAGATTTATTAGATAAAAATAAATTTCAAACATTAAATGTTCGTGAACAAGCATCTGTTATTATGGCTAGTATGATATATTTAGGTAAAAAAGATGAATTAGGACAACCGCTCTATCCAATTACATTATGGGTTGCATGTGATCTTGATCGACCGGATGGAAGACAATTATTTTTAAATGCTTTAACTTATTTAAAAAGTCATACACACGCAAGATTAGGTTTATTGGCATCTTTCGATACAGAATCTCATCCTGGTAGTCATCCATTAACAAAAGCTGTTTATACTGCTATTCGTTTACTTTCACCACCCATAGCACGTACATTTATTTTTAAATTACTTAAAGATGAAAGTGTTGTTGAAGATTTATTAGCTAAACGTAAATCATGGTCGGATGTAACTGTTAGTGGTTTAAGTAGTGAAACACTTGAACATGAAATAGCAACATTTAATGATAATATATTTCAATCTCATTCAATATTTCTTGAACATAGTCTTAATTTACCACGTGGTTCACGATCTGTTTTAGTTAATGGACGTATATTAGGTCCATTACATGATAATGAACAATTTACTGAAGATGATTTTATTCTTCTTGATACACATTTATCAAGTACACTTAATGATCGTCTTATACGTATAGTTAGTAAATTACAATTATCAAATGATCCATCACAATTATCTGATCTTCTTATGCGTATATCATCAATAATAAGTCAAAATGATAAAAGTCCAACACCAGTAACACGTAAACAAACACCACGTATAGCATCAACATCCAAAGCTGTACTTTATTTACCAGCACAAAATCTTAATGAACCATCATTTTTATTTGAAGCTATTATTGAACCAGCATCACGTGATGGTCAACGTTTATTATCACTTCTATCTGCTTTACGTCAATCGATAAATATTGATCTTGTCATATATTTTAATTGTAAATTACAATTATCTGAAATGCCATTAAAAAGTTTTTATCGTTATGTTTATGATATTAATTTACAACAAACACCTAATGCATTATTTACTCATGTACCTGAAACACCTATATTAACATTAGGTATGGTTACACCAGAATCATGGATGGTTGAAGCTGTAACATCACCGTATGATTTGGATAATATACATTTAAAAAATGTACCTATTGGTGTCAATGCAAATTTTGAATTACAATATTTATTAATTGAAGGACAATGTTTTGATGAAACACAAAGTTATCCTCGTGGTTTACAATTAATTTTAGGTACAAATAAAACAAAGAATTTATTTGATACGATTGTTATGGCTAATCTTGGTTATTTTCAATTGAAAGCTTATCCAGGTGTATGGCATTTAAATTTACGTGAAGGACGTTCCGATGATATATATACAATAGCATCACATGATAATACAGATACATCAACACGTACAAGTCAACCAGTTATTGTTGCTATACGTTCATTTGATGCACGTTGGATTAAAGTTTATGTTGGAAGAAAACCAGGAAAAGAAAATGAAAAATTACTAGAAGATTCAGCTGAAGATAGTCAAGGTGGTTCAGGTAGTATTTGGGATTCATTTAGTTTTGGTGGTTCACCATCATCTGGATCTGGATCAACAGGAACAAAAATCGATGAAGTCACAGATGATACAATAAATATATTTTCTGTAGCTAGTGGACATCTTTATGAACGTTTATTACGTATTATGATGGTTAGTGTACTTAAAAATACAAAGAAACCAGTTAAATTTTGGTTTTTAAAAAATTTTCTTTCACCTGTATTTACAAGTTTCTTACCATATTATGCTCAACATTATAATTTTACATATGAACTTGTCCAATATAAATGGCCTAAATGGTTAACTGTTTATCCAAGTGAAAAACAACGTGTTATATGGGGTTATAAAATACTTTTTCTTGATGTTTTATTTCCATTGGATGTTAAAAAAGTTATTTTTGTTGATGCTGATCAAATTGTACGAGCTGATATGGCTGAATTACGTGATTTAGATTTACATGGTGCTCCATATGGTTATGTTCCATTTTGTGAAAATCGTAAAGAAATGGATGGTTATCGATTTTGGAAGTCCGGCTATTGGGCTAGTCATTTAGGTCATCGACGTTATCATATATCGGCACTTTATGTTATTGATTTGAAGAAATTTCGTAAGATTGCTGCTGGTGATCGTCTTCGTGGACAATACTATGGTTTAAGTCAAGATCCAAATTCTTTATCAAATCTTGATCAAGATTTACCAAATAATATGATTCATCAAGTTAATATTTATTCTTTACCAGAAGAATGGCTTTGGTGTGAAACATGGTGTGATGATGAATCGAAAAAACGTGCTAAAACAATTGATCTTTGTAATAATCCACAAACAAAAGAATCGAAATTAACAGCAGCTGCACGTATTGTTGGTGAATGGAGTGATTATGATCAAGAAGTTAAAAATTTAATGAATCAATGGGAAGAAGAAGGTAAACCTAATTTATTATTAACAACACCAGCAACCAATTCAATCAATATTGATAACGAAGATCGAACAAGTTCAATTAATACGCATGATCCTACCGAGTTGTGATAGACTACTAAATTTTAGTACTTTTTATTGGTGTCTTTTCTAAACTACATACATTCCCTTAAGAAGTTTTTCTTTTCCTCTTTCTTTCTTTCTTTTGTTTGCTCATGCTTTCTGTGTCTTGTCTTTGTTCTTTCTCTCTGACTATTTATCTCTTATTGTTAAGACGTTTTGTTATAGTTTGTGGCTCATATTTTTAATATATTTTTTTTTGTTTGTTTTCGATTATGATTACCAGCAAGAAAAGAATGAAACAACATGTTTTATGGTATTGAGTATTAATAACATTGATAAACAATTATTAGGCTACACTAAATATTTCATTTGCTTTTGTTGTAATTTCATATTAGATAAACATAGAACAAATATTATTACTTTATTACTTATATAGTTGGGTGAAGTGAGAAATGATTTTGCACACAGAAGTTTTTTTATAAAAATATCTTCACACCCTGGAAATAATTTTATCTTTTTTCGAATATACACATTTTTGCATGCTGTTTCTCTCACACTGAAGACATCATGCCATATGATATCATCGAAGAACAGAAACAAGAGGCGTATATAATATGTATACATACGAAATACTTCTACTATATTTTGAATTATAAAAATGCACTCACCAGTTTATTTTTGCGTTGTCTTTACACTCTTTTTCATCAACACGCATGGAAAATCACTCTGTCTATTCAACTGTACAGCTTATGGGAGTCTCAGTATGCCTCTTAGTATTCCAACATCCTGTCAACAACGTGGAAGAGCGAAAAATTGTCAAGCTGAAATTATAATCTATTATAATGATCGAACATATGTTGTAAAATTTAGTAGATCACCTGTTAGTCACTATTATCGATCACTTCATATTATACCGAACAGTGTTTTATCTTACACAACTGAATATTCTTGTTCTGATAATGATAATTGTGCAATCGACTTTGCCAGCAAGAAAGTGCTCGATCTTTCTAATCGAACGTACAATATTGCCAGTGTGACTGATCATTTAAGTAATCTTCTTCTTGAACACCGACCACCTTCTGATCCAGAACTTCGCTGTTACAATAATGAAGAATGTGTCAAGGGTGTATGTCAAACCCTCTATAATATCCGTACTAGCACAATGCGTGGAAAAGGCTGTTTAAAGAACACTACCGCACAAGTGCTTGTGCTCGATGGCAGTTTTGATCCTTCACTGAGCATTGTGTGTAATCGAACGAGATGTAATTCGCCCGAAACTTACAACAAAGTGAAAGAAATTCTCTTTCGACACAATCTTACTGATATCAACGGTCGACTTAATGGTGGACAAAAATCATGTGTATCCGCATTTCTTCTAATAGTTACGCTTCATTTATTTGTTTTTCTATGTAACGGATTTTTCTTTTAATAGAAAGTGGTCTCTAAAAAACTGTGTCTCAATAATTAAATATCATTTTTTAGACAAAAAACTAATATAATCAGAAAAAGATATTAAGTCAAGGAGATTAATCTTAAAGGATGAGAGACGGTTGTGAGTGTGGCTGTGAGTTGGAGTGAGTGTGTTTGTGGATGTGAATCTTAGTTCCACTAACCCAACCCATACCCACCCTTGCATTTACTTAATCATTTTCCTTTTCTTGACTGAAAATCTACCAAAAGCATGTTTTTTTCTTCGCTGATTAGTCTTAACGCAGCATGACTGATATACTTCTCTATTAATAAGTAAAAACCCCGTATAGAAATTATTCTTCATCACTCAATGCTAGCTGTCATTTACGTATTTGAAAGAATATATATTATGAAAAGAAATTCTTGGTAGCTATAGGACACTACTTTTGAATACTTGTATGATTACAACCAGTCGTTCCAGTTTTTCAATGTGTTGAACGCATACTAATTAGTTGTAGGTTTTGAACATGATTGAATCAGTGATATCTGCTGAGATTACTATCTAGAAGTTTAAGAATTATCTCAGCTTGCAATTGAAGGTGCGGGTGTGTGAGGTTCTCGCTATGGGATATAGACTGACTTCAGCCACCAATATGATTGTAGGCTGAATAATGAAATCGATAGTCGGGATCAATAGACTATTCCGAGAAAAACTCACTAAGAAAAATGCCTATTGTGATTCGGGGATATAAATGGATGGTAGATGAGGATGTGAATAACAATTTTATTGATACCAATTAATAAAATAACAATAAACGAGGAGTAACAAGAATCAGAAAAGAGGATCACAAGAGAAGGGAAAAACCACAAAAACTGAATATATATAAATGTATTTATATATATTCAAAACATAGAAAAGGAAAAAGAAAATCTCATGATGATCAATATAATATATATATATATATATGGATCATAAGAAAAAGAAGAAGATAAAGATACATATATATGTAGTCACTCGAACCACACATAGGATAGAAAGAAAAAGAAGAAACAGTATAACATATACTTTAGTATCCACAGGTGTGACTATGGACGCTAACAGGGTGAAGTCATATATTCGATTGAGACTAAATCCACACCCTCAAGATGAGGGTGTGTATATAGGCATAAGTGATAGATGAAATGAATAACCACACCCACGCCCGCACACACCTCACACGCACACCCATCATTAACTAATGTTTCTTTAACTAAAGCATACTGAAAATATTTTTCAAATATCGGATCTGCTTCATTATCTTTACTATATTCGTTCCATGTTCTTGCCCCGATAATACAATGAACTTTATCATGATCTTAAAATAACAAATTCTATTAAATTATGAAATAAAAATAAAGCTTCATGCCAGATAACATCTTTAGTAGATACATATGTTTATCTAAAAATAACATTTTTTAAATTAGTTATTTTATAAACGGTTTGCTCTTACTTTTAATTTGTTCATTATTAAATAACAAAATTAAATCTGTGATAAATAGTATTATGCTTCCGCATAAATTATTAATTTCTTTCAAAATTAACACAAAATACTTTTGGATTTCAGTATCACCAGTTGTATGAGCTAGAACATTTAAAATTTTGTTATATTCTTAATTTTATGAAAAACATTTTTATAAAAAATTTCTACAATCTTTTATCAAGTAATATTCGTCTCGAAAGTTTAGACAACTCTTACCAATTAATACTTGAATATCCAGGTCAATCAATCCGGCCCGGAAACGGTCGGTCCCAGACAATTCCAGAAATTTCATGACAGTAGTATTTTGGTGAAAGAATCCGATCACAGGATTTACCCAGTTCTGGATGGAACTGACGGGAATCTGGCGAAAATGGCAGATGAATACCGTCACCAGATTCCTGCGTCAACTATTTGACATTTTCCTGCTGGTTTTGACCAGAAACGGGTGGGTGTGGGTGTGCATGGAAGAGAGACACTATCCTACACCTACATCCTCAAGACGGCGCATTCATAAGATCAAGCAATAAGTTTTGTTGTATCCCATTCAAGTTTGTTTAATACTTCCAATATATGATTTGCAATTCCATCACCTTAAAAAATAAAAGCTGAAGGCGAAACTTGATAGAAACTTTAATGAAGAAATCTGCCTAAAAACTATTCTACAAAATATCGTATCTATTAGTTAGTTTCAGAACACCAGACTATATTTTCTTATATATCTTCTAGAAAGCAGACTTCTCCATGCTTAATTTATTAAGTATAAATCTGAGCCTTTCCATTTGCTCATGAATCCTGTTCTCTTGAATTTCTACAGGTTTTTACCTGTTTTTAAATACATTTATCTAACTGAAACAAAACGAATGAATATTAAAAACATATCTTGTCGATTAGAATCGAATAATAACGTGCTTTATGTATATCACATAAATCCTTCTCTTTTACATGATCAGACAACAATTGTATAAACTCGTTTTGAGAATCTTTACTCATATAAGTAACCTAAAAGAAACGTTTTTTCGGCTATACCAAATTTCAATACTTTATTATGTTTTGATAATAAGGGTGGGTGTGGGTGCAGATAACTAATGAATATCCTTCTACACCCACACCCACACACCCTTCGATTTTTAGATTGTCCTAATAAATACTAGCCATTCTTTTTAATTGATTAGTCATTTGTTCTTTTGTATTCTTACGTATTTCTTTAATTAAATCTTTCATAAAAAACAAAAAGAATTATTTGAATTTATAAATTCGAAAAATATTTATCAATTGTTCTCTCTGGTGAATATGGTTTTCTTGTGTAGCGGTTAGTTAATTCAGCAGCAGTAACTAAAGTTGAATCAATTATCACAACTAAATTGAAAAAATATACATGAATAAATGTATAGAGAACTAAATTGTAAAAATTTTACCATCAAAATCTGATTCAATATACCGTTTAACACCACGTAAAATTGAAATGCATTCATTAACAGATGGTTCTTTAACTTGTACATATTGAAATTTTTTTTCAAATATCAGATTTGTTCCAGTATATTTTCTGTACTCACTCAATGTTCTTGTGCCAATAATATAGTGAAGTTTACCATGTTCTTTACGACTAGTTGTATCAGCTAGAACATACGAAATCTTTTTATATGAGTAATATTATGAAAATAAACATTTTTCTTAAGATTTCTACAATCCTTTATCAAGTAATACTCATCTACTAAGTTTAGAGAACTCTTACCAATTAATACTTGAATATCCAGGTCAAACAATGCGACCCGGAAACGGCCGGTTCCAGACAATTCCGGAGTCGAATTCTTGATATTTCTCTGCTGGTTTCGGCTAGAAACGGTATGTTTCCTGTGGGTGTGAGTTTGGATTTCACTATCATGACTAAGAACTAAAATAAACAAATAATATTATTTATATCTAATAAAACATTTTCTTACCATTATTTAATTTTCCTTCTCGAACAAGATCTAATAAATCAATACTATATTTTCGTATATTTGGACAGCTCTAAATAAGAGAGATAACGAATTAATCAATATAAATATACACATGCGGATATCAAGAGAGAAAAAAAATAGGTAACTGTTAGATACTGTTATTACATCGTAACAAGAAATAAAAAAGCCACCAAAATATTTTTGTTTTAATAGGTTCTTTGAAAAATATGAGTTTTATCAAATCTAATTAATTAAGATTTCTAACTCAAAAGATAAACAAAAATAATTTTATGTCTAACAATTGCGTTTTTTGTTCATTAATAACTATTTAATAGCAAAACTTTTATCGACTCGAATATTTTCATTTTTTAATTAGTACTTATTTTATACAATAGAATAATAAGTTAATTATTGTCAGCATAATACATTCTTATATGATATTTTTGAGATGAATAAAACATCTATTTGAGAAGAAAATCAATGTAAATGACCTATTATCTTGTGTGAAAAGAAAAAAAAGATTGCTTACGGATGGATATAATAGATGCTCCATATTTTGAAGATATATCGATGGTTGTTGTGGCTATTATACTTCTAAAAAAATATCTTTGTTTAAAAAAATACCAATTATAAAATACATACGAAGCCGACCACTATTGATACATGAGAGAAGATAATCTAAAACAAAAGATTGATTAGAACTTGATGAATATATCATACTTACTAATAATATATGATAACCCAAATAGTTCATTTAATAATAAATACGGATTGTTAAGTTGTTCTTCAATTTTTTTTCTATCTAAGATCCAATGGAGTTGAACATTGTTTTGTTTTAAATTGAAGAATGTATATGCCAATGGATATTCATTGAGGGTGTTACTGGACCATTCTAAACCAACATCCAAAATATTTGAGGAGCAGTTAAATTTTATCCATAAACCTGGTGATTCATTAACTAAAAAAAAGACAAGTAATATCAAGATTTAAATATCATGTTCTTTAAACAAAAAAAACCTAGATAATCTCAGGAGACGAAGGATTATATTCAGTTATTGGATGTGATAATTAACTGAAACGTTTTTTATTTATAAGACCACTAATCCAAAATGACAACTATCCAGGTCGAACAATCCGGTCCGGGAACGGTTGATTCCAGACAATTCCAAATATTTCATGGAATACTGCGTCAGGAATCGTCGTTCTGGGTAGAAACTCCATTTGTTTCGATACAATTGAAACTGATTCCAAAATTGTTCATAGGTACTTGTATAGTATCATTTGATGGCAATTGAGCTGAAAGTACAACTATGACATTAAATTAAAGTTACCTTCAGTTGTTGTTAATGATAGTGATAATGAATAAAGATCGTCAGTTTTATGTTTGTTAGACATATTTGAAAGAAAATAAATTTTGTTGCTTATTTGTTCTATTCAAACTAAATTAAATCTTTTGTGTACTTGAGACGAGAGGTAAAAAGATCATGCCATACCTTATCTCGAATATATAATAACTCTATCTTCCAGAATAGGGAATGATTCATTCAACTGATTATATCTTTCCTTTGCTTCGATAAATAAAATGAAATTAAAGAAGATCTCATAAACATTGTTTTGGTTCAACTTAGAAACTCATTCAATTGTTTAAACCATCTTAAAAAATTCGACTATAATCAATGTTAATTGAGGGTGTAGGTGTGATTGTGAGTGTGTGAGTGAAAAAGAGCCTTACAATCACACTCGTGAATGTGTATGTTCGAGGGGTTTTCTACTGTGGACTATGCACTATGAGCTTGAAGAGGTCTCGTAATAAGACTTTCTATTGTATTAATCCCTTAAATTCAATTTACTAAGTAATTAGTTGCTCTCAACGAATGATATAGAAGCTGTTTCTATTTATATCGATGCAATATTATTCTGTTTCGTTTTTTCTAAACTAAATCAATAGTATACCGTAATTTATGCTTACTACTGCGGATAAATGATGCGAAAAGTGAATAAGACATCGAGGCTTGCTTTATAACGAAATAAATCATATAAGCTTAAACATGATTTACTCATAATTTGGTTCCTTACTCACAAAATTCTATGGTACAAAACATTAGTAAACATCAGCTCGGTTTTTTTTCAAATATTTTTATTCATTCATAAATAGATAAAGAATTACAATTATGTCAAAAATAACTTGTTTATGATGATTAATACAACTCAGCACTCTTGAAAAAACCAGAATTACTAAAACCACCAGTAACCAGCACTTTTCCATTTGTTAATACGGAGGCTGTATGAGCAGCTCGTGCCGTATTTATGTGAGCAATAGCTGTCCAAGCTCCTGTTGATGGATTGTACAACTCGGCACTATCGAAAAAACCATAATGAGTATATTCACCACCGCTAACTAAGACCATTTCATTTGTTAATACGGATAATGTGTGATAAAATCGAGTGGCATTCATACTACCAGTGGTTTCCCAAGCACCCGTGGATGGGTTATACAACTCGGCACTATTTAAGGTACTACCATCATAACCATTACCACCAGTAGTTAAGACTTTTCCATTTGTTAATACGGATGCTGTGTGCTGTGTTCGTGCTGTATTCATGCTACCAGTTGCTGTCCAAGCTCCTTTTGACGAATCATACAACTCGGCGCTATTTATGGTAGAACCACTAACATCAGAACCACCACTAACTAAGACTATTCCATTTATTAATACAGATGCTGTGTGTACATATCGAGCATAATTCATATAACCAGTGATTATCCACATACCTGTTGATGGATCATACAACTCGGCACTACCTAGAACACCCTGATAAAATCCACCAGTAACTAAGACTTGTCCATTTGTTAATACGGACGCCGTGTGTAAATATCGAGCATAATTCATGCTACCGGTTGTTGTCCAAGCTCCTGTTGATGGATCATACAGCTCGGAACTATTTAAACAATCAGAACCAAAACTATAATAACCACCACTAACTAAGACTTTTCCATTTGTTAATACAGATGCTGTATGCTGCGATCGTGCTGTATTCATGCTACCAGTAACTGTCCAAGTTCCTGTTGATGGATTATACAACTCGGCACTATTCAAATAACCGCCACTATATCCACCAGTAACTAACACTTTTCCATTTGTTAATAAGGATGCTGTGTGCCACATTCGTTTGGTATTCATACTACCAGTATTTGACCATGCTAAAACGAAAGATTTGAATGTATTAAACTTATACTTTACTTGTATGAATTGTAAATCAGTCATGTGCAAAATCTTGAGGGTGGGTGTGGGTGTGATTTAATAGAAGATAAATATCCCCACACCCATCACAAACTAATCAAATGGTAAAATATCACATTGTATTATGAGAGAAGTTTCATTTCAAGGTCCGTAGCATGCTCAGAAAACAACAGTATAAATGAATATTTTATGGTGGGTGAAGTTGTAATATTTTTTTCAGCAATATCCTCAGCCAGACTCTTGCCATCTCATCGTGAATAGTGAAATAGTCGAAAAGTTAAAAACTCGAATAAGATCTTCGAATTCTACATGTATGTAAACCTTAGTCGATCGAGGAACACAAAAAAATCGCACTTACCCCTTGTTGTAGATCGTGTTGTATTTGTAAGGCCTCGTGCCCGTGCTATAAAAGAGATGTAAGTATGAAATGAAAATTCACCGAATGGTAATGATTTCAATCGTGCTGAACTTTAAAAGGCAAAACTACATACTCGTCGTTGTAGTTCGTTTTGTTGTCGTTGTGATTCGTTTTGTTGTCGTTGTCGTAGCTATTCAAAGAAAAAAAATGAAAAATCATTTTGAATATCTTTCAGTATTTTACCTGTTGTATTTCTTGGACAAACGAGTTTATTTGCCAAAGCTAGTGGATAACAGACTGGTTGACCACAACGTGTACTGTTGACGCAAACTGTATTTTCAATAGGACATGTTCGATTATCCGCATTGCATCGAACAACATTGGTACACGACAACAGAGCTATACTACAAATTCCTACAGTTGGACTTATCGTCAACGAAAAACATTCGCAATCACGATTGGATGAACATGGTGTCCGTTGAGTGTTACATGCAGTGAAATTACATATTGAACTCGTTGTGCTATCTAAGAGAAGAACAAGAGAAAAGAATGCAAACAGTTCTAAATTAATTACTGGGTAATTGTTGTTGTGCGGAAATATTGCTATTAGAGAGAAATACGACAATGAGTTTAATATTCTAAATACAACACTGAATACTTACACTAAAACCATAATATAGTAGAAAAATATTAAAATTATACTTGAAATTTTCATCCTTGTGAGAAGTATTTCGAATTCAAACAAACAAAATTTAACGGAATGTGAAACTTCTTTCAACGTTCCTTGTATATATGCTGCTGGAGACGAGAATGAATGACGCAATCGAATTTTTCTGGGATGAAATCGCTTTATTTCTCTCTCCAAAAAAACAATTTCTAATGTACACTGCTTTTCACTAAGGTAACCTTCGTTTCAAACGTCATATGTTGACTCACAAAAACAAATCACTCAAGAACTCCTCTGTTCTGCCACTTCGTCGATTTGAAAAATAATCGCACCATATAATGAAAAACGCGTATCTGAGCGACTGTTTAAAAAAAAAGCTTTTTGTTTTCACGGTTGAAAGTCGTGATCAAATAAGATGGTTTACAGCACTTCGATACGGCAATAAACATCAATTGTTTTCACACAGAGTGAGCATAACGGACATAGTTGCTACGACTAGCGCAATCTTGTTCTGAGTAAGAGAATGACCGGGTGGTAAGACGAAGAATTGTGAGTCAATGATCAGAATTTAGAAGCAGAAACATATAAAAGACGAATCGCTAAATAATATTTATATATATAGAGAAGAATGTTTGTTCTTTATGCATGCGGTCCCTATAACAACTAGCGTCACCAAACTGTGTCTGCCACTTTTCTAGAACTAGAGGAAAGTCGAAAGAAGTCTGGATGAAGTTCCACTTAAGTCATGATACACTACAATTTTCAATAGTTTTTCAGCAGTTTTAGAAAATTTATTATGATTTTAAGAATGTGGATGCGTACAACATGGAAATAACAAGTACGCTCAGCCACATCGGGTATGGGTGTAACTAAAACGACTCCCTCACCTACAAGCATACTCACACATACGCATCGCACCCACACCACACTCTCAAGAATCTCCTGTCATTTTTAATAGCATATTGTTGGAGTCAAATAATCAAATTTATTCAAATAAATAAAGTAAGAAAAGTAATTGCATATACATACGACTAAAGAAATATCGAACAAAAATTCACGAAAGAACGCTGGTATATCAAAAAAAGAAAAAGACTAATTAATTTAAACTAAGTTGTTTAACATGCGAATCAGCAACATATGAACAGATTATTAATGGAAATACAAATATCAATTCAATCTCATCATTATTGTTGTTCAAGAGTTGCTTCTGTTGAATTCGAATTAACAGATAGATTATCTGGTTGAGATACTGATTTTGTTGATAGCCAATTTTCACCAAGCCAAACAAGAATTTTTGCCTCATGTTCAGCTAAATCCAGGTAGACTTCATTATTTTCAACTTTAACATCATAATCAAATGTCCATTCATGCCACCAACCATTAAAAGGTATATTTGGTACACGATAGTGAGCTATTTAGAAAGTTATAAAACGATAAGAAACAAAAAAAAACTTTAGAAAATATTTACCAAGAAAATTTCCAGATATATTCACAACAACAATAACATGTTCACCTGATTTAGCCCTATATAATAGAAAAAAAGAATAAAAAAAAAGAAAACTATTTTTCAATACCATCGTTGATATGCTAATACTTTAGTACTATGATCTTCATGAATAAAGGCAAGATTAGTTTGAAAAAATGCCTTGTTTTCTTTACGTAAAAGTACTAAACCACGATAAAATGCTAGAAGAGTTTTATTATGTTTATTAGAATTATCTTCACGATCTGCAATTAATGACCAATCGACTTTAGCAACATCAGGTGTTTTTTCTTTATATCTAAATTAAATACAAAAAAATAATTTTTTCTTTTATTCTAAATAATAAATTATTGCTTACTCTCCAATTTCTTCTCCCATCCAAATCATTGGAATACCAATACTTGTCATTTGAATAACAACACCAAGACGAATACGTTTAAAAGCTTCTTCACCAAATATACATCTTTCTTTTCCTAATTCAACAAGCATTCGATCATGATCATGATTTCCAATATAATTAACTACATTTGTTACACCTAAATAACCTTTTTGTCGACAATCAATACCAGCTTTCAATCGATTAATATCTGTATTATCATAAAGTAATAAATCACGTAATGCCCAATAGAAACTATCATGCCAACCTAAAATTATGTTTTTTTGTTTATATAAAAATATTCTATATAATATTACATCCGTCCATAGGACCATCAATATTTGTTATACATGGTTCATCAGGTAAAAATTCTGCGACACAATAGAATGGTTTAGGTCCAGCAGCTTTTTTTGATTTCTTTGAATGCCACTCTGTTTGATTCCAATATATCGACTATACAAACAGAGAATTGTTTGAATTTTCATCAAATTTATTGAGAAATTTTTATATTTTTCATTGATAATCATACGATTTCTACACGTCATATTTCATCATGTTTTTTTTATTCATTATGATGATTTATAATATTTACTTTGTGGCATGGCGAAGAATATTAACTCCATGAGTGAACATAAATTTGAATACAATTTTTTATTCAATTCTCAGTCTTTAATCAAACTTCTAGCTGTTATCATCATCTGCGATTTCTTTTGTCTTCTAATGATTATCTATCCTTTCTTATAATATCAATAGACTTCGAGTGGAATAATAAAAAACTTCATTAGATTTTTATTTTAATTCTGAGATACATTCTATTCTTGTCTTTTCCTTCAACGTAGGAAATGAAATGTAATGAAATGACAAGATATTGAAGGAAAGGAAAAAATATATATATATATCGTCCAATATTACGTCATGTTTGTTTGTGATGAAC